CCCCAAAACCCCAAAACCCCAAAACCCCAAAACCCCAAAACCCCGAGCCAAATTGGGAAAGTTGAGATAATCTGAGTTCCCATTGAGGGTCCTCCAAACTAGTATTTCGAGCTTATGTATACCTTCACAGCTCTTTGATCGTTCCATTTACACCAAAGCAAACTCTTTTTTGCCAGATGTGCACTAAAGGAATCATCCAATGGCTCATTGAAAAGGCACGATTTTTTATCGGCATTTAAAGAACAGATATTCTCATGCTTAGTTTTATTGTAAAATTTGCTTAAAAAATTAGCAAGGCTTTAGGTTGAGAGAGTGAAATGGCTGAAAAATTGATTTTACAGAAGATTGTAGGAAATGAGATTAGATTTTTAGGTATATTTCGGATGTTAGTATATACTGCTCAAAAATACAAATGTTTTTACACAAAATGCATTTTCCCATCACCTTAGACCTAATTTCTCATAATTCCATCATTTTTCCTTCATCATGGACCCACCCAAAAATTATCCCTAACAAAAATCTTGACATAATGTCACTTCCCAAAAAGCCATCGATACAAGTTAATAAACTCTATTAAACAAATCCCGATCCCATATTTTAGCTTTTTCATCAAAGCCAACATTCCACTGAATAATTTACAATAAATTAGTATTATCTCAGGGAAATCTAGAAAAGATTTTTGTTGCCGAATTTATAGATTTTTAAGGCAAGCAAGAATTATTTGTGGTCATTCCTCTTTAAAAGTACAACGACATATGTGAGCTCAGGTTCTGGCTATTCAGAAATCCTTACTTTTAGCAAACAAATTAATAGATTTTAGGAGAGTTCTAGAGTTATTGACAGAAGAATTTTATTTGTTATGTAATAGAATGGGATTTTTCGAACACTACAAGTTCGATAAATTATAAAATGAAGGCTATTTGGATTCACAAAAGATATTAGAAAATAATGCACTTGCAAGAGCTGTTAGTCTTATCAAGTCTTGAGACGTCTCTTTCTTCAGAATTTCTTTTACCTTTCTTTTTGATACTGCCTTGCTTGGGGTTACCATTTTCTTGTGTGCTGGCCAGTCCATTCTCTTGGGGTTTGACTTCAACTTCTGGTGCTTTGGCGCTTGATAAGTCCCGAGAAATAGGCGCTGATTTTATGTATTCTAACTCATCTAGATCAACAACTAGTCAGATTTTTGTCACTCCACAATCGCTGACTTTCTGGGTTTCATCAAAGCATGGGAAATTTAGATCCGGCTCTCCGCTGTTCTTGGCAAACCTGAACTTGCTCTTCTCAGGACTATTAGAAATCTTAATGTCATATCCTTTATCTGTAAGCTGGCTATTGAACATTTTTGCAGATTTTGGTAAAAGTTCTTTAAACTTTAGCTTGTCAGATATTTCTATCTCTCCGACAAGATGGATGAGATCCTTATCATTCTCACTTTTGGCATTGAATTCACTTGACCCGATCCGTGTGTGTACCTTCACTTTAATGAACTTCATCTGGGAGGGAATGGAATCACTGTTAGTGCCGTTTTTAGGTTTGTTGTCTTCAAGCTCTTGGAGTTCTTTTCCAAAATCGAAATTTCCTTTGACTTTTGCTTTTCTTTTGGCCATCTTTTTCTCATAGTACATTCTTCTTCTGTCCATTACTTCCTGAGCCTTCCTCTCCTTAGTCTCATCATCACTGTAATCAGAGTCATTTTCATTGATCTTGCCTTGGTCGTCTTCATTCATTTTAATTTTTCTATAAAAAGATTAATATTAGGGGTTTTGGGGTTTTGGGGTTTTGGGGTTTTGGGGTTTTGGGG